TTTATGGTTGGACTCGGTGATCTCGAAGGTCTTTTCCAACCATCACGACTCCGTGATGCTTGGCCATGTGTCAGACAGCTGCTGGGCTCAGCTGTCCGAGTTCCCTCAGCTCCTCACGTTCCTGCTTAGCTAGTAAAACAGGTTTCCATGGAAGGCTTTTTCCTCATGGGCTCCTGTCTTGGAAGTCCCTAAAGCTTTGGCAGGATTTGCTCCCCCCCGGCATGGGCTGCCTTTAGTGCAAAGCGTCGAGGGGCAGAGCCGGGGGTTCCGCTGCCCCACAGAGCCGGGGCTCCACGGGGCTCTCCCGGCCGCCGCGGGTTCCCGGGGGTTCCCTCCCCGCGTGGCCGGGTGCCCCGCGCTGAGCCCGGCCGTGTCCGCGCTGTGTTGCAGAGGAGCTGTACGTGTCCGAGCGCGAGGGCAGTGACTGCACGGGGGACGGCACGCAGAAGCAGCCCTTCAAGACCGTCCTGAAGGTGGGCGCAGGGCGCGTGGCTGCGGCTGCTCTGCCGCGCTCGCGGCCCCGTTCTCTCGCCTGGGTTAGTTGCTCACAGCGCGTTCGTTCTGCCCCTCTCTGCCCCTTTTAGGCTCTAATGACAGCAGGAAAGGAACCATTTCCCACCATCTACGTGGATTCCCAGAAAGAAAACGAGGTATTGCAACGCTGAAGCTTCCTTCTGAGGAGCAATCGCTCCTCCGTGTGAAGGGATGCAAATGTGATCTCTTGCTTTGTGTTGTCTCCCACATCCATCCAGAGATGGAGCATTATTTCCAAGTCGCAGATGAAGAACGTCAAGAAACTGTGGCACAGGGAGCAGATGAAGAACGAGGCTAAGGAGAAGAAAGAGGTAGGTTGCAGCTGGTGCCGGGCTGGAATCGGCCCGCAGCCTTTTCTTCCCGGCCTCCTGCCCGCAGGAAAACCTGCCCTCTGCTCCCCTGGTGTGGTTCTTTGCTGTGGGTGGGTGTTTGCCTCTTGCCCTTACTTGGAGGAGGACAAGCAGGCGGCTGAAGCTGGCTGAGTTTTGTGTGATTGCAGTGCGTTGCCTTTAGACCTCCCAGAAAAGTACAGCGTGCTGCTGTGCGTGGTTCCTCACCGCGGCTCGGCGGAGGGTCCCGCGCAGGGCCAGGCCCTGCAGGGCCACGTCAGACCCTCGTGGGGCACGTGCTGTTCTGTGTTAGAGTCTGCGGGAGCTGGGAGCTTGAGAATCTTACACAGTAACTGGCAAGCAAGCAATTGTTTAATAGAATTTTAACAACCAGGCAGAAGATCTCTTGAGAAGAGAGAAGAACCTAGAGGAAGCCAAGAAAATTGTTATCAAGAATGATCCTAGCCTTCCTGAGCCAAAATGTGTGAGTAAGACCCAGTGTACTGATGCATGGCCTCGGGCACAGCCTCTCCTCTCTGCAGACCTTGCTTCCCACCCTGCGTGGTGGCAGTGGCCAGTCTTGGTGCTAACCAGAAACGTCATCTTGGTTTTCTGGTTGCCTGTGTCTTGTCAGCCAGTTCATGGACTTCGTTGTTTTGTGGTTTTTAGTTGGTTGTGGCTGTGGTGGACAGTGACAAAGCACAGCCCGTTGGTAACACGAGAGCAGCCCACCGGGTCTCACCACCTCGCTGGTGGTTTCTGCCGCCCTCGTGGCGGGGCCGTGCAGGCCGTGGTCCAGGAGCAGCGGTTACGTGCGCCGCTGCCTTGGCAGCCCCGTGCAGCCGAGCGCTGCATCGTCCCCAGGGCAGCCCTCCCTTCGTGTGTCTTGGGGGTCTGGTAATGCCTGAGCTTCTGCTCCTCAGGGCTGCTTCGTGTTGGGCGTCTCTGGTTGGCCCAACGCAAAGCGGGTTTCTCGACTGAGGGCGTCGCGGTTCCCGCTCCGCGTGAAGGCTGCAAGGGTTGTCTGAACGTGCTGCTTTGGTGGCACTGGATAAAACGCCCTTCCCTCCTAAACAGCCCTTCTGTGTTAACAGCTGGGATCAGATTTTGAATGGAACTTGCCTTCAGGTGTGGGGAGGAGATGTTTTGGGGAAGGAAATGCCGTGTATACCCGTATTCCAAGCATTTATGTGGAAAACCTCACCTAAGTGCTGATCTGCTGTTCTCCAGCTGACTGCTTTTGTTGCTTGCTGCGCAGGTGAAGATCAGTGCTCTGGAGGCCTACAGAGGGCAGCGGGTGAAGATCTTTGGCTGGATTCACAGGCTGCGCAGGCAAGGTAAAGCACCAGCGCTTGGGCATCGTCAGCCCTGCGTGATAAAAGGGAACAAATTCAGTAGCTGTCAAACACTGAAACTTAGTGTAAATGCTGTTTGATTCCTCCTGAGGTTTCAGATGTCAGATATTCCTCCAATGCACCACTGAAATTCTGCATAATGTCTGAATATGCAGAGATTTCTTAATCGTAGTGTATGGGTGTGTGCAGGGTTGCTTGCTTTCAGAACGATGGGTATCCTGGTTAGGAAGGCGGCATCAGCTGGGGACGGGGAGGCTTGCAGAAAACTTCCTGGTACAGGGCCAGAAATCTCTAAGCTGCTTTTTGTGTTCTCTCGTGATTAAAAATACATAAATCTGGAAGCCGTGACAAAGCTGGTGCTGGCTTCATGCTTCATCCTTGTTCACTGAGGGACTCGACCAGGCGCTCGTGCGTTTGGGTGCCGTGAACAGCTAATTGTGTTTCTGCTGCTCTCTGGTTTATTTTGGTTCCTAGAAAGAATAATTCCTTGCCATGGCCCCTGTGGCGGTGTGGATGAGCGGGGTGTCGTCCCCGCTCCCCGTTAGCTGTGCCCCGTGCTGGTGCCTCCTTGGGTTGGTCACAGACCCCCCGGAGCCGAGCGTGTTTGCTGGGTCGTGGCGCGGCAGCACGATCCAAACCCCTTTGGATTGGGGGAGCAGCCTGTACTTCAGGATGTGTTGGAGCCTCTCAGCTCACGTTGTGGAAAATGCAGCTCTGTGAAGGGCGTCTGTAACTGAGCTGCTGCTTCAGGGTTTACCTGGAGCATCTTTGGTTTGGGTTTCTAACGGGATCACGGTCTTTCGGTAATAACCATGGGCTGTGCTGGGTCTGTTCAATGGCTCAGTGAATAAATCTCTGGCTCTCTGCATTTCTGTTCTGTTTTTTAACTAGGAAAGAATTTGATGTTCATTGTTTTGAGAGACGGCACAGGATTTCTGCAGTGTGTCCTTTCAGATGAACTGGTAGGTTGTGGTGATGTAATTCTGTTTGTCTGCTTTGTCTCTAAATGAATAAATGAGGAGTTCACACCTACCTATTTTTCTTCTTGGAAGCTTTCTTAGACCTATTGATTAAATCCTAAATTTTAAAAACTTACATCTCCTCTCAGTACAGTTTTTTGTGAATGGGAAAGCTTCCGTATAATGGACTGAGTTAGTGTTGGCTGTGAGTGCCCCGGGCTGGTGTTCAGCTCCCGGTGTCCTGACCGTGTCTCCGGCTCTCTCCCCCGCAGTGTCAGTGTTACCAGGGGCTGCTGCTGTCCACGGAGAGCAGCGTCGCGGTGTACGGCGTGCTCAGCCTCCTGCCCCAGGGCAAGCAGGTAGGGCTCGGCGCTGGGGGATTCTGTAAAAAACAAACAGAAAAAAACCAAACCCAAAGCTGCTGCTGTCTCCTGCAGTTCTGTGTGTGTGAGTTTGCACGAGAGAGACAGAGAACTAAGTGACTCTTGTGCTTTGCCTTTTGCCTGGAGCCGTTTTCCACTGATGCATCCTGTAGACGTTTTATAGGATATATCAGTTGTAGGAGATATTAAATAATGACATGCTTTTCTTTTCTCTGGGAAAGGTAGTGAATAAGCGTGGGGTTGTTTTGATGTTGTTGACTTTGTTTTGTTTTTCTAATGACATCAATAATTTGGGCTCAGCACTTTCTCTTGAGATGTGCTCACAGACTCCTCACCATGCTGCCTGTTTTAAGGATACTCTTTTGTCCTCCAGCACAGGAGTACAAGAAAGGGAATCTGTTAACTTTGCAACACCTTTATAACGGGGGTCTCAGGTGGGTGGCTGGGCACATGTGTTTTGAAGCCTCAAATTGTGGTGGTGCTTGTGCTTCATACCTTTCTCCTAGTTGAGCTCTCCAAACTGTTACTGTTTGGAAGCTTGTGTGGATCAGGAGTTAGGCTAAAGCCACGTTAGGAGCTTTCTATGAAGAGTGACTCCTGAGAAGGTTTCAAATGGAAGGCAGCAGAGAAGCTTTCAGCAACCCAGTAGCCATGTCAGAACACACAGGCCTTTGTCAGGTTGTTTATTCAAAACTACTGTAAGGTTTCTGTCTTAATAACTGATCAAGGGGTGACTAAGACAAAAGTAAATGTGCATCTGTGTTGCAAAACTTAACTTGTGATGCAGCAGCAAGAAAGCTGAACACAGATTTGTTCTATTAAATCTCAGTAGTCTTTTTTAAGAGATGGACTTTTGATAGCCAGTTGTAGTGATTTTTGGCTTTTGTTTTTGTCTGAAGGAGAGTGCAAGGCAGTAATGTTGAGCTTTGCAGAAAGATGTACATTTAACCTGTTCTATAAACTTACCCCTTCCTTCAGGTGTTTGCTCAAAGCTGTCGTCAGCCAGAGAGGTGAGAATTTGTTTTCCTCTCTTGATGATCGACACTGTTCTCATGTCCTTTTGAGTAAGCTCACTCACTCTAGGAAGGTAGTGGAGCAATATATCTGAACAGGAATGTGTCTGGGAGCATTGCTGCATTTCAGACAGGTAATTGGGTTGTCTTTTAAGACATAGGCTGTTGGCCATCACCAGCAAGCCTTCCAAGTGGAACTGGGCCTTCATTTTTCTCGTTCTCCCTGCTGCTCAGATCTGTCCCCAGAAGCTCTACCTAAGGCTAGAGTGACAAGCTCAGTTAAACTGCAGGCTCTTGGGTCTGTTCTCTTGCTCGTCGCAGCAGTATAATGAGGCTTTCAGTGCTTGGAAACACCGGCTTTGTGAGTGTTGTCCTTTTGCTGGAGCCGTCCCAGAAGAGTCTGACCGTCTCCCTTGTAGCCCCACATGAAGGCCCTGCCGCTCAGGGCTCCCTCCTGCTGGAAGAGCCCACGTTTCTGCGGTGTGTCGTACCTGAGTTTCTCATTTGCTCTGTTCATCCTCTCATTACCTGGCAGCAGTGCTCAAGCCGAGCGGCGCTTTCCAGGGGCGCTGGGAGCCACTTGGTGTGACTCAGCTGTGGAGCAGGCACTTCCAAAATAGCTGCCTTCAGAAGGGCTTGAGCATCTTGGGTTTGGCATCTCTGCTGAGATGCCACGTGGTGACATCCAAGTGGCAAAGAGGGGCCTAAAGTCGTTGTCGCTCTTCCAACCGCAGGCCCCGGGCGGCCACGAGCTGAACTGCGACTACTGGGAGCTCATCGGGCTGGCGCCGGCCGGCGGCGCCGACAACCTGCTCAACGAGGACTCCGACGTGGACGTGCAGCTCAACAACAGGCACATGATGATCCGGGGCGAGAACATGTCCAAAATCTTCAAGGTGCGCTCCATGGCAGTGCAGGCCTTCAGGGATCACTTCTTTGCCAATGGATACTTCGAAGTAAGTACATTTTTCTTCACAAATGACTTCTTTAGTCCCCTTTCTTGAGAGCCATCTTGGTCTTGGAAGAACTTTATAGACTGTCTGGTAGACCTAAAATGAGCAAAAGAAAAAAAAAAAGCTTGTTACGAAAGTCTTACTTGATTGTTTTTATGGACATAGCCTGAGATCTCCAAGGATATGTAGACGTTTCTGGGGTGTATAAACAGTACAGCACGATTCAGAAAAACCTATTCACTTCTTTTTGGTACCTCACTGCTCTTGGGTGTTGTTGCTGTCATTGTCCCCAAGT